AACGAATGTGGTTATAAAGTGTTTGAAGATATTAGATCATTAGTTGATAAATATATAATGAATATAACAGACAGGGTATGTATAAATATTATTATTTAATTTATAATTAATTTACATTATTAATACGTATAAACTAATTATTTAAAAAATAGAAAGAATTAATTAAAAATATGGAATATTTACAACAGTATTTACGAAAAGACTATGTAAAAACTCTTGAAGTAACCAAGCAAGGTGTTCCAATTCACAATTCGTGTATTAGTCATTGTCTTGCACATGCATTTGGAAATTGTAACTATTCGCATCCTAATATATGCAAAGAGTGTGAAAGTCTTTTTGAATTTTTTACTCAATTACAAAAAAAGCTAGACATTAAGCAGCACGAATTTTTAATGGATTATCAAAATCGTTTAGTAGCTTTTATAGCTCATCATGCACGTAGAATGCACAGCTAACTGCTGAACTTGAGTCTTTAGATCATAATGGAGTACTTATTCTTGTAGATTTTAAAATGCGAATTAATCCTCAAAGTGCACGTGAAACCAAAGAAGATTTTTTTGGTAAATGAGGATGGACCTTACATACAGTTCTTGTATATCAAAAAAACCAAGATAAAAAGCTAAACATACAAGCATTTGATCATTGGTCTGATGATACTTGTCAAGATGCATGGTTTGCGGCTTCGTTACTCCATACAGTTATAGAAGTTATTAATCCAAAACCACAATGGATAACAATAGTGTCAGACAATGGCCCACATTACAGAAATACAGAATTATAAGCTATTGGAAAGAATGGTACGATGTTAAGCCTCGAAAATGGATTTTTCTTAAGGCGGGAGAAGCCAAATCCATAATTGACTCCCATCATGCACAAGTTTATTTCAGTTCTGTTTTAAAGTTATATACGTATAATATATATAATTTAATCATATAAATATTTTAGATTACACATTCGATAAAAAGATGGGTCAAGTTAGGTTATGATATTAAATCGGAAGAAGATATAGAAAGCGCAATAAAAAATTTATTAGGAACGCATGTAGCTCATCTTGAGCCAAATCGTAATTTAGGTAATATTACGTAAGATTGTAATTACACAAATACTATGTAGTTAAAATTAAAAATTCATTATGTTGACTTTTTAATTTTAACTGAGAATCGTAGTTTTTAAACAAAATACAAAGGTTTTATCAATTATGGGCTTCAAAACTATTGAAAAATAGTTTTTTAGTGTTGAATTAATCTGTTTATTCAAATTATATCCAGAGAAAAAAAAATTAGGTACACTTTTGGGAATCTCAACATGGCATAAATTTACATGGCCTGAAACTGATAATAATGCAAGATATATCTGTGCACGATCTTTACCAAAATTTGGGCCTTTGCATAAATTTAGCCCTCTACAATTGCAAAAAATTATAAAAGATTATGTTTTCGAAAAACCAACACCATCTTCAACAGCACACACGCAACCAGCAAAAACCTGGACCACTTTTCATAATTCTATTCAAGGTATACTACGTATAAATTTTTATATATTTGAATATAACATAACTTACCTATATATAACAAAATTTTTTTAGACGAAGGTGAGGAAGAATTAATAAATCAAGAAGAGGATGTAAGACTTATTATTATTTTATATACCATTTAACTCCATTAATATCTAGCTAATAATGCAATTTGTACTAACAGGGCGTAAATAGTGACAAAGATTTAGGTTTAATAAATTCAGAAAATACAACAGACATGGATATAGATGCTCCATCTAGAAGGTCACATTTACTATCTCTTTACTAGTCCAAATTAGAAAATCAATAATCAATTTTGCCATTTGACTTTTTTTTAATTTTAACTAATGTTTATAATTTTAACATCTCTATTTAGCCACACGATATTTGTCCTAGGTTGGGCACTACAGGAAAATCTCAAAGTTAATCAAAAAGATCCAGTAAAGCGACTAACTGAAAAAGTAAAAGAATTATTAGGGGTTATGTTTCATTCCGGAGTAACCAATGCAAAATTAAAAATGGATGCAGCAGAGATGCATATAGAATTATTACGACATGCACAACAGGGAGAAATGAATACCAAGATGTACCCAAGGTGTCTACTATAGCTAATTGGATTAAAAGAATGTCTCGAGCCGTGAAACAAAGTATGGCTTTACAATTTTTGGAAAAGACTGAAGCACCTGAATTTCAAACAGTCAATGAACAACTATAAGATTCTTGAAGCCTATACTGTTAGACATAGTTGGTTTATGGTAATAAATAATAGTTATAATACAACGTTGGTAGTAATCTGTAAATATTAAACAGATTTATTTACTGTTATTTTTTGTAGCATAATATGAGCATACGGACAGTATTTTATTTGATAAAGTATCTAGGTCTCTGAAGTTTAGACATTCGAAAAACTAGACATTATACATGAGAAGCAATATAAATTGCAATCTAAATCTAATTGAAGTCAAAATAAAAAAAAAAAAGGTATTCATAACTAAAATTGTAGAATAGAAATAGAAAAGATAAAATTGAGGTTGAAAGGATGAATATAAGAATATATGGCATTTGCTAATTATAATGAGTCTATTACAGGATCAAATTCATTATTAAAATTCACTAAAGTGAAAATTGGGATTACAAAAAAATAAATATAGGTATTTGGCGCTTCAAAAAACTTATTTGTGAAGTTCTGAAGTTTCTCAATGATGAATTTGGAAAAATAGTTGAACTTCTAACCCATATTAATAGCATGTCTAACCTATATTTTCTATCAGTTAACCCATTTTTATATATATCAGTTGACATTGGAATTTATATATAATGTCAAATTTTGAGGTATTTTATAAATTTGCCGTATTGGGGTCTTATTAGATTTTATAAATAATTTAGGAAAGCAATAATTTAAAGGATACTTATATAGCCTCAATGAAAAACCGATAAATGCAAAAAAAACTTTTTGAAAATAAAAAAATTCAAGAACTATAAATAATTCGATCAAATAAAGTAATTATGCAATTGATGGAAAAATGTTTATCGAAGAATTGGTGCCCGATAATTGGACCAAATACTTACGAAAAGAAATTTGTTCACTACAAAATTTGGTTTAGCGATTTTGCCATCAAGAGGAGAAAATTAAGACCTTTTTAGTTATATAATGGCTATAACAGCCACAATTAAAACCTCTCCCAAAATAAAATAATTTTATGATATGACGAATAAAATTAAAATAAACCATTATGGTGCTAAGTTCTTTTTTTATTCTTGCATTCTCTAAATACAATTTATTATTTTAATCTTTTTGATAATAAAATTTTCTAAACTCTGTATAGAAGTACATGATAAGGAAATATAACCCACCTAACCAATTCAAAAAAAAATTTTATTATAAGTCAGGATAACTAAGAAAATA